ACGATATCGATCAAGCTGAAAATGATTTATTAACGAGATTTTTCCTCGACACATTATGACACGGTGCTGGCGTTTCAAAACTCGTTTAAAAAAAACTTTCGTCTTATTATTAAACGCGTTCGGGAATTTGTAATTTCGGATCGCAAATCGAGTAACGGTATGTCTTTCGACGGCACGCCGATACGAAAAGCAGGAGGAGAGAAGGATCGATCACACCAGTTTTTAGAAATTCTTTTTTAATCTTCTTTGAATCGTAAAACTTCAATCTGCTGAAAGACTTTGAAGAAATTCTGCAAAATATTTTGAGAGAATATTTGAGATGAAACTTAAACGACGATATTTGATAATAAACTATAATCGTGATAAATTTCTTTAATGCTCTCGTAGCTTTAAAGATTGTAATAGCAATTTTATTTGAATTATGTCTTCGCTTTTAAAAGTACAAAAGTTCATTCATTTTTAAGATCGACGGCAATAAATCATAATTTTCTAGATCCTCGTTTAAACAAATGAAACTATAGTTCGAATAGATCGATCAGAAATCATTATTATAATTAAAATTTCATTGTTATTCATTATAATTTGATAACATTGCTAATATTATTATTGCTATTACCCTGTCCAATTCAGAGCACAAAATTATTTTCAATTTATCAATTCAAAAATAACATGTCAGTATTAAGATTGAACACAACTGGAACGCATCGAATCATCATCTGAATCTTCGTTTAAACAAACGAAACTTAACATCTTCTTCAATTACGTTCGCGAAAATTTAGAAATATACAAAAATCCGCAATCTATCTATTACAGCTAAAACGATTCGTCATTTTTTATCTCTTCTTTTATCACTTATATTATTAATAATAATAATAATATTATTGATATAGTACTATTAATGTAGTTTATTATATAGTTATTATTATATAGTTTATTATAGTACTATTATTGTTATAGTACTAGTATAGTATAATAATATCAGTATTATAGTACTATTAAATTATAGTACTAGTATAGTATAATACTATTAAACTATAGTACTAGTATAGTATAATAATACAGTACTATAGTACTATTAAACTATAATAGTATAATACTATACTACACTATTATAGTTTAATAGTACTAGTATTATTACTATGGTACTATAGTGCTATTAAACTATAATAGTATAGTATAGTATTATACTATAATAGTATACTATACTATATTATTAAATTATAGTATTGTACTATAATAATATAGTATAGTATACTATTAAATTATAGTATTATATTACAATAGTATAATATACTATATTATTATATTATAGTATTATACTATAATAGTATACTATATTATTATATTATAGTATTATACTATAATAGTATACTATACTATTATATTATAGTATTATACTATATACGATTATAATACTAATGCTATAATATTATACTATATACTATTATACTAGTACTATAGTATTATATTATATACTATTATACTAATACTATAGTATTATACTATATACTATTATACTAATACTATAGTATTATACTATATACTATTATACTATTATACTCTTATACTATAGTGTTATATAATAGTATACTGTAGTATTATACTATATACTATTATACTAATCTTACAGTATTATACTATATACTATTATACTATTATACCATAGTATTATACTATATACTATACTATTATACTATATACTATATTATTATACTATTATACTATACTATTATTATACTATAGTATTATAGTATACTATTATACTATTACAGTATTATACTATATGTATTATAGTATTATAGTATTATAGTATTATACTATTATGGTATACTATTATACTATTATACTATAGTATTATATAATAGTATATTATAGTATTATACTATAGTATACTAGTATAGTATAATAGTGACATTATTAATAATAATATTATATAATATATTATATAATAAATAAATTATAACATGATACATTATATAATAAATTTTTCCGACTCAGATCGCAAAGTATCACCTTATTCCAGAATGAAATGACAAAACGGTGAAACGGTGCGTCCCTCCTTTTCTCTTGCCTCTGTTACCGCGTTCCTTTTTATCTTTTTGTCTGAAATCGGGCCTGTCACGGTAACCGCACTTTATGGCCGTGCGCGATAATTCATCGGCTCGATACACGCGCGCGAGATCCCTCGTTTATCTTTCGTCTTGCGCCTGTAAATTTGTGAAATCTATCTCGCGAATAATCCTGCCGGTGCCGCGGATGTCTTAAATAATTAACGTCTCCTCGCGAGGTTGGCTGTACGCCAACAGTACGCCGATGAAGAGGGAAAAGAGAGAGAGAGAGAGAGAGAGGAAAAAAGAAAAAGAGGAAGAATTCGTTACTCTTGGTTATCCCGGGATCAGAACGGTGGAAAAGTTCGGCCACCAGCGAATAACGGATTGCCAATTGTTTCCTAGATTGGAATACGCAACTATGCGCCATTGTTTAGACTTTTTGAAACACTTGCGAACGCCGACCAGAGAGAGAGAGAGAGAGAGAAAGAGATAGATAGATAAATAGATAGAGAGAGAGAGAGAGAGAGACTGTTCGAACCGTAACGTGAATAAATGTCACGGAACAAAAAAAAAAAGCAAAGAAAAAGAAGAACTGATGGCAACTCTGTGCGAATACGAATTAATGGAAATTATTCTTTATTGTATCCGTGAATATTGTAAATTATATTCCGAGACTGAGCTGTGTTAATTTATATTAAAAGTTTGAAGGTATTTTCAATCGTTTTCTCGGCAAAATTTTTTACTGAAAAGGCACACCCACTGTCACGATCTATACGTCTGACATATGTATCTTTTTCTACTGATAAAATGCTCGATATAAATTCTAGTTCTCTTAATTCTGACGATGCGATCATTCTTGTCCCGAAATTGGCTGTTGCGTATATCGTAATTACTGAAACGAATAAAATGTAATTTTTCAATCTCCGAGTTTCACAAACTTTCACATCAAATTGTGTTAAGTTATTCGATACAAATAAATTGTGACACATTCACTCATCAAGTACAAATAAGCATAATTAAATTGTTGAATATTAAATGTGTATACGTACTACATTGTTGAAGAAAACTTACTCGACTACTACGTTCGCATTTTCTATAAAGGAATATTGTCGTTGAAAAGCAAAATTAGTATCAATCTCTAATGTTGTATTATTTTCAACAAAACAAACAACCGAAGAAGAAGGTACACAACATACTCTCGTCCGAAACGTATATTCACACGCAACGATTAGGTTGTAAACTTTTCAAAAATACTGTCAAAAATAAATTCATGGAGGAACAATTCAAAGTACAACAGTTTGGGAATTTCATCGACAGATAGTCGAAATATAGGTCGTGTACTTTCGTATGAGTAAAACGTTGCAATTGTTCCTGGATTCTCTAACAATTCTCTAATAATTTCATCTGCAATAGAACCTTCCACGGTTGAACTGCTGTGCCTCACGGTGATAAGTAAGTCTCTTGTGAAGAGACAGCATTTTAGAAAATTCGAGGGAACAGCCGACAATATCGAACCAACGAAGTCGCATAATTTTCGTGATTCAGTCATTACAGCCTTTAATCGGCCATTAGCCACGATAACTACCTGTCATGCTCGACTACAGCTTATGCAAATTTTACACATTAACTGTGTTGCCCTCTAGTTTCAAAGACACTGCCAACAGAGCATGAAATTCACGGTTATTAAACGGAAGTGCAATACAAATGGTGATAGTTTCCGTCTCCAGACGGATGAACGGATTTAATGAATATGTCAAATTGTGAATTTTATTTTATTACACTTCATATGTCATACTATCGTGTAAAATATATTTTACAATGTTATTATATTGTGAAGTCGTATTTAAAATTCACATATGAAAATTAAAAATTCCAAGAACTTGAACAATTATCGTACATAAGTGAATCATCGCTTGTGTACAAATGGAAACACTGCTCAAATGGAAGAAGAACTCGGTCTGCAACACCAACAAATAAACAGCTGGTTTAAATTGTATTTCATTTTATTGGATTTTATTTACCATTTGTATTATTATACCTTGCACGATAAGCTCATGAATATATCGTCGTATAAAATTTGCAAACTGAAGATTCAAGAAACCTAGAATCATAGGAGGAGGATTTTAAAATTATAAAATATATTGAATGAAAAAAAGAGTAAAATCAATAAATAAATGGCAAGTTTGTCTAAAGGAAGAAAAAAAAAAGAAAGATGGCTAAATAAATGAATTTCTAATCGTTCGAATAAAATAGAAACAAATAATTAATATATACATCTCGCTTGCTGTTACGCTGAAATAATGCTGACGGAGCGTGTCTTGAAAGGGCGACGTTCATGACGTTTATCATAATGCTCGAACGCACGGCCCATCTATCAATTGCGAATGTGCGCATTTGCGGAGGAGCATCGATCGCTGTCGTCCTTTGTATCTATTTACGATAAGCCGCCGTGTCAAACAATCCTGTGAGTCCGCGCAGGGTCGATAAGACCCCGAAGAGCGCAATTTAGTGCGTGCTTTATGGACCGTGAGATTTCTCATCTGTTGTTCTCTTATCGGCTACCTGATGTGAATGAGATCTGAAAGTATAGTCGAACGAAATACTGCTGCGTGTCTGTAGACAAGCGGGATTTAGAAATGTCAAGGTAAAGAAGCGACAGGGAATTACGTGTTCCCACGTATTACACACATCGAACGTTCGATTGCGATTGTTGACGACGCACTTTTCGTCTACAGATCGAAACGAAGATGAAATATAGTTTGTAAAATTATACCTGAAAATTGTAACTCACTTCGAATATAATTTGAAATAACGACTTGCTATTTTGGAGAAAGTAGTTATCTAGAGATTAAAATTTTCAGATAAAGGTCCAAGTAAAATATCCTTCAAAGGTTTAACACAACGTTTTAGAGATATATTAAAACTTCTGTCCAAGGGAATTATTTTACTTAAATTCAAAGAAAATATTCTATCATAGAATAGATATATAATAATATTTGTTCTATCTTCAGCTTTCTGAATCAATTATCCTTGAATATATAACAACTTAAATATTAGATTACAGTATAATTTTTATGTTATTTATTATAAGACTGAATGTATATCCAATTCTTTTATTATTAGTTGAATTTCATTTAATAATTATTCAATATTAAGAATAATACGAACAATTTCTCAAATAATTTCATTTGAAGTATCAGTCTACTTGATTGTATTTATTTTTATAATAATAATTGAAAACTTTAATTTAATGAAAATTATTATCTACCAGACCAATATTAGATTCTTTATTCTAATTGACTTAAATCGAGTATCGTTTGATTTAATTGAAGGAGAGTCTGAACTAGTACTCAGGATTCAATTTAGAATACTGTAGAAGATTATTTACTTTGATTCTTTTGTCAGAATATATAAATTTGTTGTTTGTCAGGGTAATTTTAGTAATTATATTTTACGGAGTTAGATTATGAAGTCCTTTATTTTTAGCTATTAATATATTCAGCCTAACTAGTTTAATAATAATTTGTGGAGTATTGACTCGAATTCGTGGCTATGATTACTTAATATATATGTGCTGAATGGAACTATTAGTATTATCAACCTATTATTTAATTTATATCTATATAGTTGAAGAAATAATAATAATATTTAATTTATAAAAATTAATAGAAAATTTTATTTCTATAGTATGTATTCAAAACATATACTTATTCAAGTTCATTAATTCTACAAATCTTTTTTCATAATTATATCAAAAGAATTCCTTAGAATAAATGAAAAAAATATAGTAAAGGAAATATGCAGTTGTAATAAAAATAATATTTAAATTAGTATATGGGTATCCAATTGGTTGTCCTTTAAGTCAAGTATAATAGAGTTATTAATAGATATTCAGTATAAATAATGATTTATAGGATAAAATTTTAATCTTTAACTTTATTTTATTATTGTTAAATAGTGGAATCAAGAAAAGGACAAAAATTGACATGAATAGTATAACTACTCCTCCTAATTTATTTGGAATAGATTGTAAAATTTAGTAGGCAAATAGAAAGTATCATTCTGGCTTAATATGTGAAAGTGTAACTATTGGATTCGCTATTTTGAAATTATCAGGATCCCTTGTTATATATAAGGGTTTTGAAGATTTACTATCATGAAAATAATTAACACTAAAAAAAAATAGTAATTAAATCTTTTATAAAAAAAAAAAGTATGAGTAAAACCTTGTAAATATTTATCTTAGGAACAACAGGATTAGAAGATCCAGTAAGATGTAAAACTATCAAGTGAATAAATACTAGGGCCACAATAACTAATGGTAAAAAAAATGTAAAGAGAAGAATCGATTCAGAGTATAACTCACTTCGAATATAATTTGGAATAACGACTTGTTATTTTGGAGAAAGTAGTCTAAATCAGATACATCAGGAGGTTGAAGTTTCTAGAATAGAATTAACAATTATTTGAAGAGACAGAATACAAAATTATTTTTTTTTTCTTCGATAGCCAAATGATTAAATAATTTTGGAGAAAGTCATTCGCTTGGTCAAATAAGCTAAGGATTATTTCAACGCAACATTGAATCAAATAAGATGTTATTTAAATAATAATTCTTGTTTAAATAATGCCCGCCTCAGAGTCAAGATGGTTGAAACGATTCGTTGTTTTGTACAGTTGACGCAATTTTAATCATTTTAATCAATTTGTATTGTTAAACTTTATTTTTTTTTCCTTTCATTTTTTTTTTTTTTTTTTTTTTTTTGAGATTGCAACTACGAAAGGAAATTTCAAAGATTCGCCTTGACGTTTCTCCGTCCATTCAGATTCTATAATTCTATGAAACTTCGAGAAATTGAAATATCCGTAATATCACGATCGATCATTGCTTGGTCCTTAATAGGGTCACTTTGAAAGTAACTCGATTCCGATGCAAAGCGAAGTTGCTCCAATTTACCCGTAGAACAGAAAATCTAGAAAAATTCAAATTTAATTTCGATGCAAAATAAAGTTACCGACTCGCTTCTTCTAACGAACAATTAAAAGAATTATCAAAGGATCCATTTAATTAAAAGATTGAGTTCTAGAGTAGGGGAGGCAAGGAAATTTCTAAAAAAAAAAAAAATGTTCTGAAATGTTCCATCATAATTTACATACTTTTAAGAATAAAAATTACTTCACACTTTATTTCAAACTTAACACTGGTTGAACTCGTCTTTATCTGAAACTGATTTGAATGAAAGCAAATTCAAATCGCGCGCGCGTGAACAATGGGAACGAAAGGGGACAGGCTGCTGTATTACCGAATGTGAGTAAAATCGCAGAGGAGTAATAAAATCGCATTTGGCCCGAGTCACGTCGGCTGAACGTTTTTAGATGTGACACGGAGGAATCGTTTGCATTTCCCTCTGACGTTACTCGGCCGTCATATTGCATTCACGAAAATATCCGAAAACCTAAGTTTCAGAAATATTGCATTCGTGGCAAGATCGAGAATGTACGAGAAATACAGAACGAGATACTTTCATTCGTAACGCTGTTGTAAAGCTGCTATTGTTTCAACGTCAGCTTGGAAATAATTTCATATCGTTGCCAAATATTTATAAACAAAGATTTACATTACGAATGTTATCAATTTTATCTCTGTGCCTTAAGTTTACAAATGTAAACACTACTTTCACAAATATCACTGTATTCATTTGTACAGTTAAACGAATTACTTGGGTTTAATTAGGTTTATACGGATGTAATAATCGATATTGTAACATTGTATTGCGTAAATATGATTACTCGCACGTACGAATGAACAAATGACAAAATTGACACGAACGATCAGTGTAATAAGAAGATAAATAGCTGAAATTATTAATTGTTGTACGAACTAACTCGGGAGACAAAAGTGTTTAGATAAAAGAATTTTTACATAAAGGAAATGAATGACACTGAATTTGATTTATCACTCAAAATACCAATCAACGAAAAAACGTTTAATCAGTGTTCAATCAAATTGTTTAGTAAAATTTACTTTTATACATGCTTTTTTAATTTCTTATTATTTTATTTGCAAATATAA